ACTTGGGTGGGGAGACGGTAGCGCGCGTCCAGGGCCAGGTCGCCCAGCTTCACGTCGAAGGCCTTCTTGATGTATACCTCCTCAGGCTTAGCCACCGCAGCATTGTAATTGTAGGTGCCGCCCACCACAACGTCGTCGGCCAATAAGGTCTCTACAGCGCCCTCGAGATTCAGGGTGGACAGGTCTTTCACGGTCGTGTCCGTGGCTGTCACCTGCAGGGTGACGGGTAAATTCTTAGGACGCGGGGGAGCTTATGATATACCAATTCGCACGTCCCTTCCTAAACGTTCTACTAACGAAACACACTACTGTTGACAGCATGCTGGCTGGCTTTATGACAGACAGAAGATGATGAACATCTGTTCGTTTTACGGAAGCGCCTGACACAATCAAGAAGGACAATTCATGCATATGCGTCTACACCCTGCACATAAGGCGAGAGGAAAGAAAACATAACGGCCTAAGAGCAGAGCTCACCGCGAGGGAGCATTTGATCTCCGGAAGTCTCACCGAAAGGCTGAGGCCGGCCCTAGCTGGAGCCGCAGCAAGCAGCAAAGCGGCCATGGAATAAATGATCTTCATGGCTTGAGATAAACGAGCCGGAAGAGCTTTGACAATTGCGTAAGGACGAGAACACGACCTGGACTTGAAAGACGGGGAAAACATTTTACGGAGAAGGCATAAGATTCATCAAAGAAGAAAATACCAGCTGGTCGAGTGCTCTATTGATAAAATGTCAGAGACAGGTTACGAGAGGCTAGGACGCCCAACAAGTCATCTGCGGTGCTACAGGACACAGTATATGCACACCGTGCAATCCTCAAGTGCTGTGCTAAGCCTTGGCGTCGCATTTTTAAGCAAAGTGTCATATCCCAACCAAGCAGAGAGGATGGTGTCAGGGGTGGAACCTGCGCATTTCTAGTTGTGATATGTCTCCGCGTGGTCGATCCAGACCCACGCCACGAGAGCAACATTAAATAAGCAAGCATCTATGCACTAACATGCGTAGTAAAATTGGCTCCACATGTTTCATTTAGGTGGTAAAGCAACCTTTTTGGTTTCTTCAACAAAGCTGCTTGAAAAATCATCCTTTCTTCAAGAGAAGGCAGGAAGCGTACTTCCCGTCCCAAGAAGAAAAGCTTTCTGAAGGCGTCATGGACTTGTGACGTGGATATAACAATGCAAGAAGACAACGATCAAGAAAACACCGAGTTCCTAAAGGTCCACAGATAGTAAAGGACGGTCTCACTTCCTGGGAAATGATACAGACTGACTTGAAAAAGCACTGATTCATGCAAGATGGTGTGGTGTCAACTTCACTGACACCTTCGATGCTTCCATTCTTGAGTGCTTCAAGCTCAAGATCCGAGAGAAGATCATCCAAATCTTTGTCGACAATTATGCCACATCCTACCACAGCTTCTGGACACTCCCATGCAGCGATTTTTCTCCCCTTTCGCTTTTCCCGCTCCCCTCGGTTGCGTACGAACGCTCCTAAGACTCAGGTGCAAGCAAGACACGGCAGATCATTCCTAGCCCCCAGTAACCGTCGGTCCGTTCAGGTCAGCTGACGAGCTGGCCGGCCGGCCTGGCCCGTCTCAAGAGGGAAATAAGGTACACGATGCTTGCTGCGCCAGCAATTCACAGATGACCTTTGATGGGTGTAAAAAGATGATAAAAAAGAAGCCGGAGAACAATTCTGTCGAAGAAGAAGAAGAAGAAGTAGTTGGTGGCAGACAGGCTTGTCACTTCCAACAGGTAGAATGCATGAAATTTGCGAAAAACTTGCTTTTTTTTCAATTTTGCATCATTGAAACCTCGTTGACCTCATAAAATTGTGCAGCTTGCGTAAAGACACCGACGTGATCTCTCATTTCGGCACTTCTCATTTTTCCTTGCTCTTTTCCTTCTGGTCTCGCCGCCTGATGGCTCATTGCCTACCAAGTACACTCACTCTCCCCCACATAAGCTTATCTGATTATACACTTTATGTACACATATGCTCAATCGTTGCGAAAAGGATAGTGTGTGGCCGCTGCAGCGGTCCATTCCAGCTGATTGTTCAGGCGGATGGACAAAAGGTGATTGAGACGAAGGAGAAGGTGATCATTGACATGAATGATGACCTTACTCGGTGACAGTGGTAGCATACGGACAAGGTTTGCAATCCACTGGATTCAGCAGGAGCATTCAAATTTCATGCCATTGCTCTTTCGCCAAATAGACCTTCGCCCGCCTCGTCGAAGGGAGGTTCAATCAAAAGCGTCCGCTTTTTCCAAGCCCGGAGGGGCCGGGGCCCAGGGATTAACAAAGGGAACGAGGAGGTTGCGGGGAGGAGGACAGGAAGCATGCGGAGGGTGGAAG